TATCGTTACTGACAAACAATATACTGAAGCATGGTCTTGTTTTATTAATAACATAACAATAAGTATAAACCACAATCTTGTATCATTACTAACAAAACAATAATACTGAAGCATGGTCTTGTTTTATTAATAACATAACAATAAGTACTAAACCACAATCTCGTATCATTACTAACAAAACAATAATACTGAATCATGGTCTTGTTTTATTAGTGACATAACAATATGTACTAAACCACAATCTTGTATCATTACTAACAAAACAATAATACTGAATCATGGTATTGTTTTATTAGTGACATAACAATATGTACTAAACCACAATCTTGTATCGTTACTGACAAAACAATAATTCTGAATCATGGTCTTGTTTTATTAGTGACATAACAATATGTACTAAACCACAATCTTGTATCGTTACTGACAAAACAATAATTCTGAATCATGGTCTTGTTTTATTAGTGACATAACAATATGTACTAAACCACAATCTTGTATCATTACTAACAAAACAATATACTGAACCAGGATGTTATGTCCTTACTGAGATAGTATATATGAACCACAATTTTGTATTCCTACTGATATAATAAAATATGAAACATTATCTTGTACTTTTTTCCCATCATAACTGCTAATATCTCAATATAATAGATAATGAATGTACTAGAGCATGAAAATCTAAAATGTAAAACAAACTTGAGTAATATATTTACTTTTACACGATGCATGTAGTACCAAATCCAAGGATAATGAAACTAACATAACTTCTCTGATGAAGTACAGTATAATGGTAAAAAATGCTTAAATAACTTAGAACCCACATTACATACTTCATATAGAGCAGGAATGACCATAAGTGCAGAACCCCAGAAAAACTGTGTCTCCACTGTGTAGGTATTCTTGTCCTCTGGATACCTGTAGACAATACCATAACACACTGTAATATATAAACTTTCTCTTTTATTACAGATAATGGAATTTCTAATATTTATTATTTTCTATGATACCTACGATAATTTGATACTTATCACAAATAATTTCCAGTAGCACCTATGAACAAATAAATTTTTTTTCTTCTGTCTTGTATAAATAAAACCAGTTGATATAACTATTTAGATTAATACTTTTAATAACCTGCACCAGACATTCAGTTTTGAACTGACAGGTTAAAGGAAAGGCAAATAGTTAAATTAACACACCTCAAACTCTAGAGCTATCGCCAATGAACAGTGGGATTTGACTGTCTGTCTTATAATGCACACACAACCCCAAAATAATAAAATACAATTTAAGTGAAAAAATACCATAAAGAAATAACTCTCTGGATCTAGACTCTGAATAATTATGGCTAGTTTAATTAATCTGAGTATTATGAATTAAGTTTTCCCTGGTTACTATGAACCTAAGACACAGTAATTAAAACATTATCAAAGGCATTAATTTGAAGAAAAAAAAATGATAGTAACTCACAATGTTCAAAAGTTAAAGTCTACAACATTTTCAGATAAGAATAATGGAAAATCTTTCAGATTTCCAGACACTTAAAAAGCAGCAAATTAATCAACCAGATCCTAACAACAACAGTATATGTTAAATCATAGATCACAGTTGCAAATGTCAGATAAAATAAATATCTTGGATTGTTAACAATATAATATAAAAGATTATAAAAAAGTTGGAGTTTGCTTTTATGCAGATTATAAGTTTGTTCAAAACGTGGAGATTTTTATGGTTTGTTTAGTGTAATATCGCACCACACGGTTTTCATGGGAATGTCAAGCACATATTCATGTCAGTCAGTAGCATGTGTGCTTAAGCTGTATGCATCTAGTCTGCATTAATAAAACAAGGAAACTATCATATGTTTTTATATTTTATCAATATGAATCATATAGTAAATTTAGATACCATTTATAACTTAAAACTATTATATCCTAACATATACATATTAAATATAACAACCATTATCAAAGTAAAAGAGTACTTGATTTATGTCAAACAATTCAACGATGGTACAACTGAAAGACATATAGCTGAAGAATAAGGAATATTATAGTTTATATAATTTCTGAAAACTTTGCTTTTAAAAAAAAGAAAATTATAACATATAGGTTAGTAAAACACAAAATCAGATCTACTACTACTATATAAAACTCAAACATCACCACACCTTCTACATCTCTGAATACATAGAGAAGCACTTTGGTTATTGATAAAACTCAGGGAAATGAAATGGCACTAATTATTATACAGTTAAAGTATAGTAAGACACCTAAATGTTAAAATATCATAGATGTTTATTGTTATTTGTGATACCTTTAATATTACTAATGCTAAGTTTGGATAATACCAGTTAACAAAAAAATAAAAAGGCAATTTATGAAACATATCTACTTTATTTTTTACTCACTACTAATTTTGTAAAATTATTTTGAAATTCTACAATCATCAGTAACATTTCTTGTTCTTATAAAACGTCATAATACTGTTCTGTTTCTAGCTAAAAGTAAACAATTCAATAAAAAGATTTTTTCTAGAATATTTCTTTAACAGTAGGTGATAATATTATTGTAAGCACCTACTCAAAGAAAAGAGGTCGAACAACTGTCTCAGCAGCAGTGTGGCTTCTAAAAAAGAGTGTGTAGAGGAATGGTAAAAGATAATAACGCATTGTAAGGGCATTTCGAGCTGCTGTCACAACTAGAGGTCCTAATGCTACTGGGTCTTGCTCCTGAAAGAGAGAGAGAATATCTTGACAATGCTATAATACTACATAATGAATAAAATCTGTTACTAACAATAGAGTCTTTACTACATCTTTCTTGTTTTATAGTGACTGTTGTATTATACAGAATAGAAATGTATATGAAAATTTATTTTTCCTACTTTTGAAAAAAAAAGGAAAATTTCATTAATAATCATATGATCCTCAATGCAACATAATATACTTTTGTGGTTAACACAAAAACAATTGATTCATGAAGGGTATTAACAAGTTATCACTACTGTGGTTTTGACAAAACTAAAAAAAAACTGGTTCATGAAGGGAATTAACAAGTCATCACTACTGTGGTTATGACAAAACATTAAAAAAACAACTGATTCATGAAAGACATTAACAAGTTATCACTACTGTGGTTATGACAAAACTTAAAAAAAAAAACTGGTTCATGAAAGACATTAACAAGTTATCACTACTGTGGTTATGACAAAACTTAAAAAAAAAAACTGGTTCATGAAAGACATT